CTATAACTTCAACTTTAAGCCCATAAGTGTGGTTGGATAAGACATTAAAAAGAGAACCTGCATTTGTGGGTTTTCTATTCGCACAAATCGACAACCACAGCCTGCGGTGGAATAAACGAAATTAAAGGTACTCCAACATGAAAAGCTATTTTGTTAGTGATGAATACACGCATCAGTAGGCAACTGCCCTTATAAGGCTCATTTATTAATTGCAACCATACTTTTCATAACAGAAATAAATAAGATAACTTTTAATCGCCATTGTGAAAATAGACCTGATTCGGAAGAGATAAAGTAATATAAAAGAACCAAGGAGAAGCGCTTACATGATAAGATCGATAACAGGCTGTATAGGACTCATCTCATCATGCAGATATCTGTGAGCCAGCATTTCTATGCGCCTCTGCTTCGTGGCCTTTCGAGGGCATATGAGGTCAGCTTTATACCCCTCAATAAAAGCAGTATCAACTCTCCGACGTGACCAGTTCATATCACCGATCTCATCCCTACCAATAAAATTATCGATGTCATCCTCATCTATTCCTGAATTATGGGCGTCGAAGTATCCCGATAGCCAGGCTAGATGAACGGCTGCGACACGATGAAGCTGAGAAAAAACCAAATCCTGAGGGATTGTATTGGTGAACTATCAGAGGAAAAGAAATAAAAGCCAAAGTATAAACACCAAAAGCAATTACAAATAAGAACCAAAAAAGAGAACTGAAGAGCATAATTGAACAGTTGCATACGCCTTTAATGTGCCCAATGACGAGAACTCATCTCTTTTCACAAAAAATGAATCAGTCATTATCAAAAACACTTATCATACCTGATCGTGCAGAAGCCAATTAATTATAATTCAAAATCCTTTATTGATTATGCGTAAAAAATGAAGATATTTTCATTCTATGGTAAGCATAGGTGTGGCATCTTACGATCGAAATTCAGCAAGTCTTAAACTATTTTCATGATGAGGCAAGTTTTTGCTTATAATTATGTTCTCGAGACTACCAGTATACTATCTATATATCTATACCTCTCTATATATATGAGATATATTCCCTCTATCTCACTTAAGGTGATGATAAGAGTAACCCCCATGTCCTCATTAAATTTTAGATAGCTATGCTTCCAAAAAGGTGTTCTCATCTAGGGTAGACCGCGGTTTCGACCTCGACTCCAGGTAGTGTACCTTATAATCTCGAAACGTTAACCAACAAGCTACACTGCTATGAGCTCGCGAGCGTTGGACTCTCCGAATTCAAGTCCTATCAATGGGCATCGGTCTAGGCGAGATCGAGATTGCAATCAACTCTTGACGAGAATACCTTTTGGGTCCGCGAAATGCAATGGAAACGTGAGGCCTGATCATATCATTGTGGAGAAATTCAACTACGAGTCCTTCAACTTAAACTAAACGGAATAAATGCATAGCATATTTTTAGATTAGATTCATATTCAAGCTTTAAACTAGCAAATTAATAACATATCAATAAAAAGCGAAAAAGGAATTAGTATTATCAAAAAAGCACCGCTTAGGCTAGCTTTGAAAGAAGCAAAAAAATGTTACATTTCTAGAATAAGGATCATACAAGATAAAATTTCATTAGACTTACTGGCCTTTTCACTCCATATTTTCCAATATAATTTAGTTTGAAAAGATTTTCGAGACCTAAGCAATCCGATTTTACGTTTTTATATGAAGAAAGGAATTTTCGCGTGTGTTCACTAAGTTCAACTAGTTGAAGCCAGAGGCTTACAGCAAGTGAATCAGGTAAACTATTGAACACAGAGACAGGCTGTAAAGAGGAAATATGAAGGAATATTAAACTATCAATGTTTAAAACCAGAAAGATAGAATCATATGTCAAAGTAGACAAGTCAAATCGAACAGGCCATTGAATGAACTTCTAGAGCTATAGAAAAATTAGATTGTGGATATGCAGACCGAAATGACATCGCCTTAGAATCTGTCGCAGTCGCATTTAATCGTAGTATTGGTCCCACCATACGCAACTTAGACGGGGTGACAGAGACCTTGTGGAAGATGCAGGCGAAATGCCTGGAAATGTACTAAGCTGACGGTCCGATGCCAGAAATAAGCACAAATAATATTGTAGAGGATACAGAACAGGTAGTTCCCAAATCACTCGGTTACTCTAAACAAGTTGCGAAAACGAAGTTGAACCAGTACTGAAGGAACGTTAATCTTTGTCCATAAACTAGATATTTTATACTAGTATGAGATACTATAGCTTCACTTTGAAGATGAACTAGCCATTAAACCAAGATTACAATCATACCTATGATGAAATGACTCATCAAACTTGTTAAGGGCTGAAAAGGTTAAGAGGAACTCATGATTGGAACTTCCTCAGAACCCCGTTTTCTTTGCAGTGACTGACTCTCGCTCTTGCACGTCGCCAACGCCCCTTCACAAGTGTGTTTCTCCTAAACCTATTCCATTGTGGCCTATATTTTAATATTTGAACTATCTAGCTCTCAGTCACCGAGACCACCACCAAGTCAAGCAAGCTGCTAACCTAGCTACTCAGCTTCTTTGTTATACAAAAGTCTCCATAAAATCAGTATTCTTCTTCTGGCGAGACAGGTAGTAGAAAATCACAGTACGCTGAAGCCAATCTTGGATGAGAATGCCAAGTTGAATTCAATAGCATCGTGAGGCCCATTCATAGGATAGCTGGAAATTCCATCATAATTTACACAAATACCACTTATGAATATCTCTCATCCGGACTACTTAGTTGGCCAAGCAAATCTTTCCATGGTATCCAACCTACTATCAATCTGAGACAATGAATCCCACGCTAATAAGGAGCCTATATTCGCATCACACAAGGGTTTAAACAGGAATAACATCAAACTTAGCAACTCATCTAAGGCATAATCTTTCTTGTGGCGATCTGCCGTCGCTCTCGCTCCGCTATTGCATGACATGCTGTCTCCTGTGTTAGCGATTAGCCACAGTCTGCCTGTGGAAAATCCTGACATGATCTGGAGTCCTCCACCATGACATCGTCGTATAGCAAACCGAGCTACTCCTGGTTGTCAGAGGCGCATCACCGAATGCCCATGCTTAATATGTGCAATGTATAAATGTGCCACTTCTTCTCTATTTTGCATTTGCGATGGTACATATCGGCTAGAATGGCGCATAAGAGCGTGCTCTCAGCCAGTGTCTTTATCCCGAACAGTCTTCACAATATGTCGATTTCGCGTCTACAAGGCTAACTTTGCCCTACAAAAGTTAAGTGATTGCCTCAGGACAAACTTTAAATCACCTCTAACTATTTGCGTTGGGTCTTCACAATGTCTCTTCTACATTGGCTACATGACTCTACAAAGCTGTATAGGTTTTTTTGTTCTAGGTTCCCCTTCCTCTACCCTCTAATTCATTCAACATCATCACTTACACGCAATCACAACCCATCTATATTACATTCAAATATATTTGAATAACTGATCCTATACAACTTAAACACCAAATCAAGAAATTGGAAAAGAAAATGTCACTTTAAACATAAAATGTATCTTCATAAGAAAATAACACATTCCAACAAAAATAGTTTGTAATGCTTATTATCAGGATTACTCACCTGACCTTGGTTAGTTGTAGCGTCGGATAGATGAATTT